AATTGTTTAAAAAAATCATTTATAATTAAAGGGACAAAATAAAATACGATCGCCTCATGCATATTTAATCACTCGCACTTCCAGCTTTGAAACCATTTTCCCTGCGTGAATTTTCTCGCTAATTTAAAATCTGAAGTCGACCGCTGTTCCAGGGAAGGGGGGGAGGGGGGGACACATCTGGACAAAGCTTTCAAACTCGTTTAAATTAGGAAAAGCTAACAGCGCTCCGTGGCTGCTTAAAAAACAACAGTAACAATATCAACAAAAACAAAAACAAAACAGCAAAAATCAAAACTCCGATGAAAGTTTGGGGTGTGCTTAAAAAAGCAAGTAGGGATAAAGTAATCTTGAGTCGCAATGCAAATCAGTGCACCTTGATTTAGCCTAATGAAGCCGGTGTTATGTGCAAACACATTCTCTCTACACTCAGGCATGAGTTTAATAGAGCAAATTAATTCCCCTCGCTGGAGTTGTTTGTTTTTTTTCCCCCAGTAAACCCTCCCCTTTCCCCGACCGCCGAAAATTTCCCACGAAGTTAAAACTCGCCCGCGGTTCCGCACGTCCGCGCGCAAAATGGAGACGCGAGCCCCGACCGCGCGGGAGGGCCTGGGGCGCAGGGCCGCGTCTCCTTTTCACTTGGGATGGGGACGCATCCTGACCTTTCACACGTCGAGGTGAAATATGCGGGATTCAGACGAGACTGTAACAACCTCAAAACTGCTTCTGTAGCTACTCTTGAGTCTGAGATAGAAACGTGCTAAAGCGATGACAAGCCCGGTGGCGTGCACAGAGGCATCGCTATCGGGGCGCATTTCCTCCAACTTTTGAAGGCCCCTGGAACAAAACGGGGCCCGCTGCAGGGGTGAGGGCGGGGGCAGCTAGGGCTCTCCAGATCCGTTCAGGGTCCTCACTCTTCCCTCAAGCCCCTGTGGCGCCCCCTCCCCCCCACTTCCGCCCACTCTCCAATCTCCCACCCTGCAAAGTGCAGGCTTGAAATTCAGGACAAGTGTGACACCTACCTGTGAAAGGGGGGAACCGTCCCCTGGCCGCCCCGCGGCCCCAGCCCCGAGACTGCTCGGGGACTCTACCGGGCCACCTACCCTCCGCGCCATCGACAAGAGGACATTTACTAATTTGATCAAACCCCAGGAAGAGATCAATGCCCAATTTGGAAGGGGTAACGCAGACAAGTGATTTGGGACGGCCTTCTCCCAGGCACCCCCTAAGGCTTCCCGCCCGCAGTAGCCCGCAGCACCTTTGAAATAGTAATAAGGGCTAAATCCGGCATAAAATCGAACTCATTAGCAAAGTTCACCAGCTGATTGCTTTGCATAAAACGCGACACTGATTGGAAGTAATCAGGTTAAGCGATGGAGCTCTGGCTGGTGCGTGTCTCTAGCTGACTTCGCCGTCCTCTCTCCCTTCTGGGCATACACTAGGGTCTCTCTCCTCCTTCCTCCAGGGTCCAATCTCCCCCAGGCAGCCCCGCATCAGTGATCCAAACCTGCCTTGGGCAGGGCCAAGCTCCCCAGGGCTTGCAGCCTGCGATGAAACCCTGGCACCCCGAGGTTCTTGCCCTCCCCACTTGGGAAAAAAAAGTTGCAGTTTGCACCTTGTGTCCAAGGCGGTGGACAGTGTATTGAGGCTTCTAAAAAGTCATTGAGGCTCTGATTATGTTAAAATCTCTTTTAATTAAATACTTTGCATTTTACAAAGGCGGCTGCAGTTTCTTTTTACTTTTTAAATCTAAGAGTATAACCTGATTCCTTTCTGAAATAATGCTTTAGCTCATACCCAGAAAAAAAATCAATAGGTGTAAAAAAATTAAATTAAAGTTGTATTTTTAAACTATGAAACAGTTTTTTTTGGGGGGGGGGGGGGACACAAATGGATATACTTATATTACAAAAAAACCATTAGATGCCTGTATAGGTGTCTTAATTTCATAATTTACTTCAAAGATATTGAGTTATCAATTTAAATACAAAATGCTACATTAAATATACAGAATAAGATTTAATACAAATCCTTATTTTAACTTTTCGGTGGGTTAAGACATTTGTGTGTGTGTGTGTGTGTGGTGTGTGTGTGTGGTGATGTTTACATTTTTATGTCATCCATCTCCATCAACTATAAACTTTTTAATAGGAGGGGTAGTTTTTTCTCTCTTGTTGATGGAAAAATAACTGCCAAGGCCATGTGTTTGTTTTTTTTAAATAAATTAGGAAAGTCCGGGACCGACGCAGCCCGCGTTAAATGTCGGACATACCTTTCTTCAATTCATAGGGAGAGTCTTTGCACAGGTCTAGCTGGGACTGGCTCCGCAATATTTTCGGATCTTTAGCCAAAGCGTCCACTCGATTCAACACCGTCTGGTTTAATCCATTGAAATGCGAGCCCGGACCGGTCGTGGGGCCTGGCCCGGGCCCAGGGTGACCGTGAAGGTGTCCGAAGGAGCCATAGTTCGTGTAGCCCGGATAGAAGGGCGCCGTGTAGTAAAGAGGCCGGGACAGGACGGTCCCGCCCGGGAAGGGACACTGCGCCGAGGGCGAGCGTGATGGTGCAGGGGCCGGCGAGGGGC